CAGGGTTGCAGACACTTTCACCTGGGAACCAATGCAGGCCCCACACAGAGCTTGCTTCTGTCAGCTGAGCTTCTCACACACAGCTGTCTGGGGACAGCAGAGCTAAGAAAGCACTGTTAACATTCCCTCTGGGGCTTAGGGGTCACAGGCACCTGGCACCACCTGGGCACTACCATGGGCCCCAGATGGAGATGTTTCCTGCCAGCAGTTGGACTGGCTGGCAGGATCCTGCATTTATCCATGCACGCCTGTTCTGGCTGTGGGGTCCCATATGGAACTTATTCATGTGCTTCCTCCCACAAAGGCTTGAATGCGCCAGGCCGAGTAAATGGGGCCACCCCGTCACAAGTCTGATGAAGGGGCTGAGAAAAATCCTGCATTATTGTGGTGAAGGTCATAAGAGAGTACTTTTTTTTCCCCCCCAACTTAATTACTGTGGTGAAAATAGTAGATTACTGGACCCATTTCATCGTCCTTCGTGTTTTGTGTACTGTGGAGTCTAGAAAGCCAAACATGTTTTCCAGATTCTCTTTCAGCTAAGGGTGCTAATGGTGCTGCTATACTCTGTGGGCACTGAGAAGTTTAATTGGAATTTGGAGACATTCTGGAACATGTCTAGGATTGCCCCTTCCAGTGGTGACCATAGGAAGTCATTATAGGCTCTGATCTCAAGAATGAACATTTTGATTACCATGACATATTAAGGACCTCAACCAACCTCAGTGCTAGCTGAAAGCAAAAGGAACAAGAAATGGAAAGAAGGGGAAGGAAGTTACAAATTGCAACTACACCTTTATGAAATGAAGACCACAGTAATTAGCCACATTTTTTTCCTGTCTTTTGTGTGTTTTTATAAATGTTAAATTACTTGAGCCTCTTCATTTCTTCTGATATTTTATATGGAGTGTGTTATTGGTAGGTAACTTTCTGATGTAGTTCCCTAAAGGAGGGGCAAGCTTTCACCATGAGATGGACAAATTGACTGATGGGACTTTCTTTTGTTCCCCCTGTTGGGGAAAGGGTTAGCACATTTTCATTTATAAAAGAGATATTTGCATTATGTTAGTATGAAACAAGCTTATTTATAACTTCTTCAAGAAATTCCAGCTTGAGTGCATCCCTGTCAATTGCCCATCTCTTTCTGAGCTTCAAACAAAACAAAACAGAAGAGCAGTAAGTTTCAAAAGGATGTCGGTGGAGACCTTTTATAGATGAAACTGACTTCTAGAAGCCACCTGGCCAAATATATGCACAGCTGGAGAAAATAGACTGTGAAGCTAGGTCCAGTTGTAAAATATCTCAGGTACCCAATTAGTTCCAGTTATTCTGCATCTGTGGATTTAAAATGACCATCATCCACAGTAGAATAGATGTGCCCCTCATTGCTCAGAAAATCCATAGCTTGCTTGATTGAGGATACAGACATGCATTTGATCTGGTTCTTGAGATCCTGAAAGTTCAATCCTTCAGGTCTTGGGCAAACCTTAATCAAATTCAACACCTGGTTTTGGGCCACAGTGAGGCCATTTGCTGGCATGAAGCTATTCCCACCAAAGTACCCGGCTTCATTCTTCCCTGGATTGCTGATAGGTGCTCTCCCTGCTGAGGGCTGGCTGTTCGCTTTGCTTAGTATCATGTGTGCATTGATCACTTCCAGAATATGTATGGTGAACCCATTCATATCCTCCAGGGACATGATCTTAAAGCTACCAGGCTCTTTTTGTTCTGAAAAGACCTCAGGTGGCCTGCCACTTTCACATATGTTTCTGGACGAACTACAGTGTTTTCACTGCTGGTGTTATCTGTGTCAACCCACTGGCGAACATCCATGGGTGCAGCTGTCATGTCATCTATTTTGTAAACAATGTTGGTTGAAGCCTTCTCTGCATGTCTGATGATCCCCACAAGAGTGACTTGTGAAATCTCAACACTGCCAATTTTGAACACTTCATCAACCAAAGTGACAGAAAGCGTCAGAGATGCAGTGTGGGGTTCAATGTGCTGTACTTGGGCTCCTGATTCTTTTCTGCTTAAGAAGCTGCCCGCGATCCAAAGCCTCTTGGGAACTGCATGTATTCACCGACTCCCCTATGAGGAGCTGCCATAGCTTTCAAATCCACTGTCCCACATGTAGTTTGTGATTCTTCGGGGAAGAGGTCGGGAGGGTTAGGTCTGGGGAAATTGCAGAACACCCCAGAACCGGGGGGCTGCCATACTACTCTAGTCACTTTTCTCTCCTTTAGTGATTCTTAAGCTGGAATTGAGGTTACACAATATTCACAAGTCACACGCACTTTCTAAGGTTGAACCTACTCTTCATTTAGTTTTTCCTCAGACGTAGATTTCAACAACCCATGAACTTTGAACTCTCTATGTAAAATCACTTGAAACCAAATTAAAACCATTAAAAAGATATCAATAATTAAAATTAGAGAACAGCTTATCATTTTAATACCTTCAAACAATTGTTTTCTTTGTGTATCACTTCCTATATTATTTATATATTTAAAATAATTATACTTTTTAGGTCCTGTTTTCGTTCTCTTATATAGAAATATTTTCTTATTTTAAAAATAACATTCTATCATATGCCTATGTACCACATATTATTTAACCATTGTTGTACTGTAAGGCATTTTGATAGCTTCTAATTATTGCTCTTTTAATTAAAAT